GGGGGGGACAGGGGGGCACCCCCAGCACCCCTGGGCACCCCCGGGGGGAGGTGCCACTCTCGGCATCCCAAGGGTTTCCTCTCCCGCCTCCTGGCTCATTCCAGGGGGTTTAATTAAGGATTTCATTGGAATGCCTTCTAATGAAGGGACACCGCCCACTGTCCCCGGGCACTTGGACGATTCCAGGGATCCAGGGGCAGCCACAGTTTCTCTGGGAATGCTGTGCCAGGGCCAGACAAGCGATCCCACTCCAACATTCCTTCTGCTCACAATTCCTAAGGAACCTGAGCACTGGAACGAGCCCAGAACCCACAGTGGGATGGCTCATTGTCCCTGTCCATCTCCCGACACCTCAAAGCTCAGGAGATCACAGAAACCATGGAATGGTTTCCTCTCCCACCTCTTGGCTCCTTCCAGGGGGTTTAATTAAGGATTTCATTGGAATGCCTTCTAATTAAGGACAACCTTTCACTGTGTTGGGATCAGCCACCCCTAGCAGGGGAGGGACAGCCCAAGGGACAATCAGGAATTCAATCAGAAGCTGGATCAATCAAACCACCCCAATCCCACTCCTTTGGGGCGGGAATGGCTTCATCTCTGGGGGGTTTCATTCCCTCTGGCTGGGAAATAGTTCTTGGTTCCTGTTTGAGACCCACCAGGATGGGGAGTGGGACAACTGGTACCAGGAGATGGCTCATTGTCCCTGTCCCTGTCCATCTCCCAACACCTCAGAGGTCAGGAGATCACAGAAACTATGGAATGGTTTGGGTTGGAAGGCACCTGAAATCCCATCCCACTCCAAACCCTGCAGGGACACCTCCCACTACCACTGGACACTTGGACACTCCCAGGGATCCAGGGGTAGTCACAGCTTCCCTGGGAAAGCTGTGCCAGGGTCAGAGAAATGATCCCACTCCAACATTCCTTCTGCCCAGAATTCCTAAGGAATGTGAGCACTGGAATGAGCCCAGAACCCACAATGGGATGGCTCACTGGTCCTGTCCATCTCCCGACACCTCAGAGCTCAGGAGATCACAGAAACCATGGAATGCTTTGGGTTGGAAGAGGTCTTAAGGCTCATCCCAGGTTGCTCCAAGCTGGTCTTGGACACTTCCAGGGATGGGGCAGCCACAGTTTCTCTAGGAAAGCTGTGCCAGGGTCAGAGAAACGATCCCACTCCAGCATTCCTTCTGCCCACAATTCCTAAGGAACCCGAGCACTGGAACGAGCCCAGAACCCACAGTGAGATGGCTCATTGTCCCTGTCCACCTCCCAACACCTCAGAGCTCAGGAGATCACAGAAACCATGGAATGGTTTGGGTCGGAAGGCACCTTAAATCCCATCCCGCTCCAACCCCTGCAGGGACAAGCGAGGCCAAAGACAACCCCTCCCCGAGCCCCCTGAGCCCCAAATTCCCCCCGGGGCGGGACTGACCTCGGCCACGGCCGTGGCCTGTTCCACCTGCACCTCTGTGGAGCCGTTGATCTCGGGGTTGGTGGTGTCCAGGATCTCCACGGCGAGCGCCAGGAGCAGCCGGGCGCGGAAGGAGACGCCTTCCCCCAGCCCCTCGTTGAGCTCCTGGTGCTCGTCCATCAGGGTGTAGTTGCGGGTGGAGCCGTACATGTTCACCCAGGCGGGGCCGAAGGTGGGCAGGAAGCCTGTGGGGCACGGAGCGGGCACGGAAGGGGCGTGGAATGGGTGTGGATGCGCCGGGAGAAGGGCATGACTCAGCCTTGGGGGAGGAACTCCTGGTTTGGGATCCCTGCCCTGCTCTGGGGTGGGATCCCTGCCCTGCTCTGGTTTGGGATCCCTGCCCTGCTCTGGTTTGGGATCCCCGCCCTGCTCTGGTTTGGGATCCCTGCCCTGCTCTGGTTTGGGATCCCTGCCCTGCTCTGGTTTGGGATCCCTGCCCTGCTCTGGGGTGGGATCCCTGCCCTGGTTTGGGATCCCTGCCCTGCTCTGGTTTGGG